GAAAAATTGACGTGATATATATTTTTTTTAACTCTGCTAATGTCTTTCTTTTACGAATTTTTTCTTCTTGTTTTGACAAATAAAATAAACTTAACTAGCATGTCATTAATTTAATAAATAAACTATTCATATATTTGCATATCTTGTTTTCTAATTCATAGCAACAGAATGACTAATAAATGAGTCATAATCAATCTATTTCGACATTTCATCATTCATCATATCCTATTCGAAAAAAACAAATAGATTCTCATCATAATTATTACATAATTCAACAAGAAAATAATTTTCAATCTATTGATGATACTCTTTTCGTTCATAATCTTCTTCAACAAATTAATATTCAACCATCAACAGATATTAATCATAATGATTATTTCTATATAATCTATCTATTATTATTAACTATTTTTTATATTTATTATATAAGAATTATTTTTCAAGAAAAAATGAATCTGTTTGATGATAATGAACAATATCATTATTTTGATAATTATGAACGTGAAATACCACTTTTGTTATGGTTTAGAAAAGGATATCGATTATATTGACCTTTATTCTTGCAGGTCTGGTGTCTTTCTTCTGTATATTATTTATCAAAATAGAAAGCGAAGAAAAAAAAACGAAAGAGAATAAGAAATGAAAGATGTACGAAATAATTGACAAAGAATGTTTTTTTTTACATGCTATTTGTACAATTATTGAGTCATAATAGAAGATCGGTTTTTTTTTCTTAATCGTAAAGTATTTATATTTTAGAATGATTTGAAATAAATGGACGTAGAGCGAATATTTAACTTATCTTCTTTTAACATTTGTTTTTTCTTTCATCATGGACAGATATTAACGGAATATTTTCTGAATTATCACAAATTTTTTTAACGCTACCAGAACATTGGAAACTTAGTGCATATCTTGCACTTATTACAACTCTGGGTAATATAGCATCTGCTTCTATTGTTCTCATACAATGTCTATATAAAAAACATATGTTTAATCCTATACTAATTAATTATATTATTATTATTATTATTATTATTGGTATGTTATCATGTTTTTTATTGATGTTTTTTCGGCAATATATAACAATTATAAGAAATGAAAAGCATAGTACAGTACTTCTTATACTTGCTTTTTTTTCTATCTTCACTTAATTGTACATCATCAGTTTCATTCGTTGCTTATATACAAAGGTTTCGAAAACAATTTATAAGTGCTCTATTTCTTAGTGAAAGTCTCACGTCAATTATACCAAGTTTACTTGCTATTGCACAAGACAATGGAAAACTTCATTGTATTCCATCGATTCGTTGAACTAATATTACAAGAGCTATTTATGAAACTGCTCAATTTTCAGTTCCTAACGGTTTTTCATGTTTCCCTTTTCTTCGATTATGGTGATTGTTTTTTATTTCTATTAGTACAAAAGATACTAACTGCTCGAATAACATGTCAAAATATAACTAAAATATCTTTAAACTCTACTGAACATGATTTTGAAGCTACAAATACTCTTTTTTTGAATAAAAATCAATCTTATCTGAATCATTTTATTTAACTAAAACATCTTGTCTTATGCTTCTATTAGGATGTGCTTATACAAGTTCAATTCTATTTGGAATACTTCTTTCAGTTTTAACGCCATGCGGACATCGAGTTTTTTATTTAGGTACAATTTTATCTCCATGAGTGTTAACACTTATTTGGATATTTGGTATCATAAAACCTTTAATATCTAAGCTTTATATATTTATTTTAATTGTATGTGGATCAATATCATTTTTATTTGATATGTTTATTGCATTTAAAAGTCCATGTCCACCATTTGTTAATACAATAAAAGGTGATTCTTATATTAATTATTTGGCTTAGTATTTATGTACCTTTCGGATATCCTCGTTTGATTATTGCAAATTATGTTCAAAATTATTCTTCCAATGCAATGTCTTAGTATGGTGTTATTGTACAGTTAGATGCATTATTTCGATCAATTATTATCTATCATTCAATAGAAATATTTTCTTTATTATATGAAAAAATATCTTGCGAACAAATCATTTGTTAATTTTATTTTTATAGTAATAAAATATGATTTACATACACAACGAATAGACTTTTTTTGTTCATTTAAAGATTGATGAAGTTGTTCTCTCTTTCTCT